CCAAACATTCTGATGGGATTTGGTGAACGTGAGCGGGATGCAAGAGGAAGAGAGGGAGACCGACACGCTCGCAGTTTCTCTTGTATCCGCCAAACACAATCCTTGGTATTCAATCAAGACGCATGTGTAAAGTGACTAGAGCTACGTCCTTTCTTAATTATAAAGTATAAGCCTCCTTGGAGGAAAGAATTTTGCGGCCAGTTTGTATTGCGTTGGTAATGAATTGTGGGAGAATGAACAGCGAAGGAATGGAGCAGACTACTTTGACGCATCACAGAAATGCCCTGTCATGATTTCATGTGAAACGCCTGTGGCTTCTCAACCGCCAGCAGGAATGACGATGCAGTTCGCTGTCATCGATCCCGCCGTGAGCAAAATAGTTAAGTGACGAGATGGACTGTGTGCTGAGCAAGCAGTTGCCATTGCAATCACCGTCGTTATTTGCATTAACCTGTACTGGGTGCTACGTTGTGTCGCTGCGAGAGCATTGTCACGCAATGTCCTTAGGTAAGTTGCGTGAGGAATTCTGCAGTGTGGTTAGGCGCACTAGTGTTCATCTCCACCTCACAGCTGGTCATCCCCTGCCATAGCATTTGCAAACATCGCCTGAACTAACGTAACGAGAAATTACCCAGCCACACCTAAACTGACCCAACCACCACATCCCCGTGACCACTCTCCCTAGTAGCAGAAAACAAGCCAGACATGCAATTTCCTTCATTCATGCATGAAGCCAATTTACGACAGTGTGTGAGATGAGGTGAATCAGTCGTTGGAAGTAAAGAGCTCGGTGAGATTAAAGGCAGCCAGAACGATGACTAGAGTCATTGAAATAGCTGCAAGAAATGGAGACCAAAGTAATAAGAGATGCAAGTAGTTGAACACGCCAGAAATAGCACAGATGGCAGCGAGTGTAGTGAGGACAGCGGACACGATCTTGGTCCACCTGTTTTCCATAACCATGTGGAGAATGAGGAAGATGGCAGCAATGACGGTGAGTTTAGCTGCAGCCAAGATGAGGACACCGGTTATTTTGAATTCATTCACCTGCATGCACATGGAGCCTAGAATGCTCCCTCCACATCCCCAACCGTCGTAACCAATTGCCACGAAGAAGATTAGGGCTGCTGCTAGGGCAATGACGATATAGCCGATTTGCCGATCCATGTGCTGCGTTCGATGCTCAACTTGGGACTTCTGTTGTCAACACTCTGCACATGCACTCCTTCATCCGTCTGCTTGCATATTTATAGGCGCCAGCCTCCGCATGCCTTAACTTTCGCTAATTCGGCGATACAGCCAGCTTCTCAGCACCCTATCGCTGTTGGGTTGATGCCACACACCCACCACACACGTCATTTCACCCATCAAGCATCACACTGTGCTTGCGCAACACCACCACACTAGACTACAAACTAATTCAATTTTACCACCCTCTCCACCACAGTCAGCCCTTTCTCTATTGGCACCTGAGTTTTGCTTGTCAAGGTTTGATTAGAGCCCTGTAAGGCAGCACTGGTGTTAATTCCTCGACATTGCTCAAAATGCAGATAATGAGCTCAGTGCTCGCGTGTCTGGGTGTCGCTCGTACTTTCAATGTGCCTGTTTAAATAGTCTGAAAAGGGTTTTCGTCATTTTAGTCGGGCAAAGCAAAAAGGCAATTTGTCACTTGCGTCAAAGTGCAAGGGGGATTGTGGTAATTTCTTCAGAGTATGAAATTCTCCGGAAGTGGATAACGCTCATTAAATGCAGTGAATATATTTCATTTCAAATGCCCACCTTATCAATGCGTTCGGTTAATGTGTACTTGCAGAAGTTATGTGCGAATATTGAGGGGTTGATTTACCTCCCGAAGTAAGAAGCAGTATAAGAGGCCTATCTTAGGGCGTCTTCACGGTAGCTTTCCATGTATCATGTTGCAAAACACGCCAGGTCCCATCAAGCAAGATGCTCTTACTGGATATTTACGCAAAAGTCACAAGGACTTCCTGCAAGTCAACTTCAAATGCCACTTTTGCCTTATGCGAATGTACAGCCATCTTGTCTAAGACTGTAGACTACTTGTACGATTCGAACTGCCACTGCAACTGAAATTCCATAAGAGGAGCCAAAACGACCTCACATCACTGACCTCTGCACTCAATGTCTGAAGGTGTGTTCATATCAAGCAGCAGCAACACATGTGAATAACAGCACGGCAATGTTTAATCATTACCTCTTACTGAGTTCGCAACTCAATTTGAAGTTCACTCATTTACTTATTTCAATGGTGGCTATGCAGTCTTTCATTTCACCCCCGCTTCCTATGAGACACACTAGTCTTCAGAAGGAATTCTTCTACTCCTATATTTTATAACATTTCCGGCACTGGTCTCTATTCTGATGGAGGTGTTTTGCCTTTGTGCCCTTTCCACAAACTGTTCCCATTGTGCTAAACATACTCCTCAATGAAGCTCATTGCCCAATCAACAGGCGTGTCTCGGTACCCAAGGCGCACAGAAGTTGGACCGATTGCGGAGGAGTGCGTGGTAAAATTGAATTAGTTTGCAGTCCACTTCGGTGGTGTTGCGCAACCACAGTATGATATTTGACGGGGGCGAAATGACGTGTGTGGTGGGTGTGTGGCATCAGCCCAACAGCAATAGGGTCCTGAGAACCTAGCTGTACAAGACTCGATGAGTGCATTCGGCTAAATTTGTAGTGATCCATTCCTGTGTGGCGAAGGATGACACATTTGTGTGCAGAAGAGCTGGCAATTCATCAGCATGGGCTGGGGAAAAGGATGAATGACAGTAACTTTGGTTACCAGTGGGTACCTACCAAGAGCAAGTGCAGTCACTTTTAGTTTTCGTCGACTGGTCGACAGCGAGATCATAGTCGTGGTGTAATCAAGGCTTTCGTTAGGATAAACGAACGTGAGGCAGTGGTTGAGTGGCTATGTAAGACCGAGCTACAGCACACTTCTTTCGCCTTTATTCGAAGCAACAAATTATCTCCGTGACAACTTTCAATACCAACATGTTAACTAGCTATCAATTGTGCGTAATAGGGCATTTTGGACCGTCTTGTTAGGCACGCCTGCTATATTCTCTGTAGTCAAATTCACAGCCGGGAACAATGGGAACAAGCCGATGAAACTTCTAGTAGTATCAAACAGGCACCATTTTATTCCTATTTTCATTTAATCGGGTCAGTTTTAAGTCATTGTTTGGCTTTCGATGAAAGGAGCAGAAATAACTCACCTTCTACGAAACCCAGTGTGCTCACCCTCACTTCTCTGCCAAAGGCGCTGATGCATTCACATTTCACCAATTCTCCCATTTCAGTGCGTGCACCAACAGTGGCAGAAATGGTTTGTCCTGGTTTTAAATTTGTGAAATTGTGGGTGTGAATGGAGAGGAGATTGGTGGTGTTCCATCACCTGCAGTCGAGATTCCAAGTGATAAGATAGCCAGTAACATTGGCATGGGATTAAGGTTGCGGATCCCGACTCACGTGCACCGTGTGAGGGTCGATTGCTTTAGGTATCACATTCTGGGGAACACTTCAGTCTGCACAGATAAAGAAGCAGCCATTTGTTATTATTGTTGGAAAAGCGATGAATGCTTATTTGTACTTCGATATGTCCCCATACGAATGGAGACGGATGAGAAATGGTCAGACATCACCGTGAATAAACAAAATGCTAGCTCAACAGTATAAAATGTGACTAAAAGTGATTGTGCAGAAGACGGACCTGCGTGTGCAACATCGAGTAGCGATGGGTCAACCATCGCATTGAAATCATCGTGTAATACGAGTACTCATACTGTCACTACATACGTGACTAATGGTCGCAGTCTCTCCATTTTCCATTCTCGTTCAACAGCGGTGGGGCTGACCACTGAGTGCAAAGCGTTTTTCAAGGAGGGACAGCCAATTTTCATTAAGACCTTCTTCCTCGACTCCCCCAGGATGGTGCATCAGGAAATGCAATTCCCTAAGCTGGTCACAGTAAGCTGCTTTAAATTTCGGCTAATACATGCCTCTTGAATTAAACAGGTCACGTTGATAAGAAAACTAATACTCAGAAATTATACCCTACTCCTTCCATGTATTTGTTTCAACACAGCCTTCTTAGTCCGAAACTGGACGGAAGCACATCTTTGTGCTTGCGATGTGACAAAAGGAGCAAGTTCCAGTGATACAGTGCCTAACTGAGCACCGGAAATATGTGTCGTTATCCCTGTAACAATCTAGTGCCAACCAACTCATCGAAATCAACAGTTGCCTTTCACCAGTCCAATCAGAATCAGCCACAAATATGCAACAATTGGAATCAGGCTTTGCACTGCCAGAAGCTCCATTGATTGTTTCATAAGATGAGTGAACTTTACCAGAACTACTTCGAATTTGACCAGTGCATCGAGGGACATCTCAATGTTTGGGAAGAAGACGGCGTCAGAGTGTGATAAACTTCTTACTGTTCTTCGTTTCAGGCAACACATGCCTTAATTTCAACTCAACAGGCCTTTAACAATTGCAACTGTATGCTACCCAGAGGCTGGTAGGGCTGGTGGTGTACGGTAGCGACCACGAAACAATAGCTCATCGCCTCCTATTTCATAGCTCCGGAGTTAGATTTGCTGCCTCGCATTTATTGTCTGTGGCACATCTGTAAACGGTGCTACAAGACGAAAATGCACAGCTCGCGACAAGAGCAAGTATCATCGCGTCTATTTCGATTCAGGCGATGTAGGCGAGGCCTTTCCTGGAAAAGGTGGTACTGGGGAAAAGGATGAATGACAGTAACTTTGGTTACCAGTGGGTACCTACCAAGAGCAAGTGCAGTCACTTTTAGTTTTCGTCGACTGGTCGACAGCGAGATCATAGTCGTGGTGTAATCAAGGCTTTCGTTAGGATAAACGAACGTGAGGCAGTGGTTGAGTGGCTATGTAAGACCGAGTGCAACTGCGATTGCAACGCAGGTTGCTGTGTCATGTCATGTCGTAGTTCTCTTTTGTGTGGTAATTTTGCATTTTGCATTGAAAACTAACTAGTTGCGACCATTTGATGGCTTCCATTTGCGAATGCTTGATAGCCGGTATGAAAGCGAGTTTCTCGTTTTGGGAAGAGCCAACTCCCTCAACCCCATTACACCGAGTGCAGGAATTTCGTACTAGAAAGAAGTGACATATTTACACCACTGAATCATATTTGAAATAACTAACACATCAGTGATCAGAGACCAACTTCTGGCTTGCCTAACAGTACATCATTTCGTGCCTCCTTCACCGCATCGATGATAAACCCACTAATTCATGCATCAGCTTTAATATTCATTGAAGTTTACGGGTATGTCTAGGTGGTCCATGTAATTATTATTACTTTGTGGAAGTGGTTGGTGTATCGCTCCATCATACTCAATGAATGGTGATGTCGGAACATTGAGGAGGCTGGACATTTGGCAAAGATAAGATTCTATCGAAGACAAATGCACTGATGGAGACAAGGTGGATTGATGGGTAGAGGGATGAAACGGGGCCGGAATGATTAGATTCCTGCGAAAATGCCTCGCAGGCACATTATGGATTGTGGATCTTCTAGTCGCGGTATAAGCATGAAAACCTGACCTCATGTTCTCTTCTGAATTCGGGCAAACACAAGTTAGCATCAGTGAAAACATCAGCACTTGGATTTACTTAGGTGCGGGTCTATCACTCAATCTGCCAGAGCAGTGACTTCTGAACGTACGCTTTTGCCTACATGTTAAATCCCTCCTTTTAGCCCACTTCTATTAGAGTATCAGATGATGGGAAACCACGACCAGCTCTCAAGAAAATCTTGCTCTTTAAATGCACTAGCTACTGACAAATCATCAATTAATCGTCCATTCATTTACCCCTTTACAACAACTGATGCCGCATACTGTCCATGACACATTCATAAATGGCACAACAAGGCCTACGGCCACATCTCTTGACAGGACCAGGCAGCATCGCGTCTACAACGGTTTACAAAGTGCCAGCCAGACTTTTGGCGAAGAAAGTGGTAACGGTAAAGGAAAGATGTCCGATTGCAACTTCAGGTCTCAAAATGACCTTTTTAGGTGCAATCGCGTTTGTTCTTGTCGGTTGCAAGACAGTGACACCGCATCTGCACTGTAGAGGCGCCGACTGAAAAGTTGGATCTGGTTGGATTTAACAAAATGAGGCGTTGGATGTGCAATCCCCGAAATGTTGGAGTGGTTACTGGAGTTGTGGCAATAGGATTCGGATACGGAGAATATGGATGATCACAGTATTCGCAGGCAAATCTTCACTTCCTACAAATTGGAGCAAACGACTGAGGTCGCCATCACCGACACACGAAGGTAAGGGGGCTCTGGGCATTATGCCACAGCCACACTATCAAGACGACAGTGTAAAATCATCAAGTATATTGAGTCCGCACATGCACTTACCAAGGCTTAGGCAAACAAAGCTTTGAAGACAAAACATTTCTGACCTCCCTGAATAGGCGAGCAATAACGATGCACACCAAATTGCATCATGACGGAATCATGATTATTTTCCAATGCCATTTTAGCATATCTCATGACCTAAGTCACTTTGAAACTGCAAGTGCTGACTTTCCAGCCGCATGATGGTTGTAACAGCTTTATGAAAATTAACTACATAAACGTACCACAAATTAATGGGAGAGGAATGTGTAACTAGGGGGTTCGAAGTGTTTCAAATACAGCCCATCAGATCAGATGTCAAATAAACAGTTAATTTTGACTCATGGACAAATGGCACTTTCGATTTAAGCTGAGCGTTTGCAGTCTTTTGTAGCATCAATTCAACCAGCACATCTTATCAGATACAATACATCCATGTGCACGTGTAACGAGGAATGATGGTACCAACGTATTCATCCGTCTTTGAAAACCTTAGCCAGCTCCCTCTTCCACTCATCCCTCCTCACCGTTGGGCAGCTTCACTCAGTCCCAATTTATGCTTCCGCTTTGAGCACACGGCAGGAGCTCAGATCACCTCAGTGACGATGTATGCCCACGAAATGTACACTTCTTGATGCCCCTCTCGACCGATGCCCCCATTGCAGCTTGTTCAGTATGGTTCCTGCCGAAGCGAAAATAAATGCAAAAGTTATGTGCTGTATTCTGCTCATATCATTTTTAAGTAGCTTTACCGTTTTAACATAATTGTATGAACTTATGTGAGGGGCAAGACTGCTTATAAGCACATTTGACTGGTACTTCTGACCACCAAACTAATTAACGCTGGCTTTAGAACATCCACTCTAAAGGAAGGGCTGGGGGAAAGTAGATACAAGATTGATCAAACCTTTTAAGAAGAGCATTATACTGCTGGCATTGTTTTGATAAAAAGTGGAATTTTTGTCCTCCTCAAGGATTGCCAGTTCTAACTTGGCCACTAGCATCTCAGGTTTTCTATTATCTTTGGAGTAAATGCCTTTTTAAAGTGACCAAATTTACTAGAATTCACGTATGAGAAGGCCTGTACAAATGGATAAGATCGTCATATATGAGATCTCTTCATCTTTTGTGCTCTCACTATATGCAAACTTAACATTTCGCACTCGTTCTCATTTTCAAGAAAGCAAGTGCGCAGTTGACTTTGACAGTCATGGGTAATTTCCTCATACATTGGATGGTAAAAGGAATTCTTTTTAATTTCTTTTTACCAAAGCCATTTTCACAAGAACTTATGAAGAAAACCCTTCTGTTTTCGACATTTTATGCTGTCAGATGCTGCATTCCCTTCTTTGAAGAAACAAATAGAAAAATGGTATCGTAGATTTTACCGATGCTGATTGGTTGAATGAAGGAGGTGAGGGGACCCCGAAGGTGCAAGTCATCCGAGCACATGAATGCTAAAGTTAGACACTGTGTATGGAGAGGAGAGCAGGCAGTCGGGTGTTGGCACAGCTGACTTCATCTCAGAGTAGGCATCACTGCGAGAACCGGTGTCACCGCTGAGGTGGACTCCACTCCTGCCGTGACCTCCGTTGAATTGCTCTCGAAGCGTTGGTATAAATTTGGACTGAGTGTAACTACCACCTAACAGTTTGAGAGATTTGCAGTGGTCGAGTGGGCAAGCCAGCTATCGAGGGTGTTTTGAGGCAGATGAATATGTTGGTACGCTCACTTCTTGTTACAAGTGTAAGAAATTTCTGCTGGGTGTATTAATCCTGCTGACTATTATGCATATTTAAGTAAAAAATGATTATTTGACTTGGTGCCATAATTGTAGGTTTCGTATTCGATGCCTCATTTTTGTTTATTTCATCTGAATTCAACTTTTTCGTCGGCCTCTTTGCAGTGCAGCTATGATGTCACTGTCTTCCTCCGACGAAGATTAAACGCGCCTGCACATGCACTTGGGTACCTGCTGGGGCCCAAAGTTGCGGTAGGACATCTTTGCTTCACCATTACCACTTTCACTAGGAAAGACCTCGCCAACATTGTGTTAATCACCACAGATGCAATGTTGCTTATTCGAGTCATTAGTGTCGTAGACAAGAAATGTGCCATCAGGTTTAACTTCGATATTTGAATGGGAGAAGTTGAGTTATTGCTACGCGATTGTCATTCTAGATTACCAGCTCTATCAGCCTCTCGGCAGCCTATCTTTGCATAATATAAAGACTAGCAAGAAATTCGAAAGAGTCCAACGCCGTCTTCTTCGTTAATATTGCAAGTCACTTAATGCAATTCTATGATTGTAAGAAATATTGGTAAAGTCTTCTCATTTTATTAAAAAGCAAGTAGGATTTCCGGTGGCAAGAAGTCAGACTTGAGTAGTTGCACATATGTGATATAGATTGTGTTTGGCTACCCCTCACTAGACTAGCGATTGCCAGCTCGCTAACGGAATTAGCAACCAAAATGTGCATTGCAAGTGGAGATGTAATTGTTATTGCAAAAGGGGTAAGTTAGTACTGGGTGGGTGACTAGATGCCTGTTTGATTGGATGGTTCGTGGCGTGAGATATTCACACCGGTAATTGTAACTCTCGCCCCTTTTTCTCCCAGTCTGCTAGTTGCATAATTCCAAAATTAGGGCTGTTTTAAATGCCCTTTGAGACTATGATCTACATTTTGAAAGTAAACGGCAATGGTGCATTGTTGATGCCGAGGAGATAAAGGTCAGCTATGAATATCTGGAGGCATCGAGCGCCAAAAGGGAAGACTGGTTGTACAAAGTGAAATGATGAAGTTGCTGTGTGTTGTAGCAATTGCATAGGTTTGGGCCTGTTGCAAATTCAACTACCTAGTTAATATTCGTAGGTGCATCGAACATCTGGGCCTTTGTTCCATCATCTAATTCTGGCCTGATGCGCTTCACTCACTGCGTTGCAGTTATTCAATTACGCCTTCACTAGCCTTCTCCATTGATGGGGATACGATGCAGATTCATTATCTCGTTGCAGTGCAGTCTACGCCTCGTAAACATACTTGGATTTTGGGTGGTCAGGATAGATGCATACGTGGAATTTACGTGACAACCAAGCATCACTTCATCCTCATTACCTGGTATCCTGCTCGGACGACTCAATTGATTGAGGGGTTAGCAACAAGAATATGAATATGAGGCGCGGGCTTACTTCAGCGTCAATATCCTTACTAAGACATCGTTGAGAGGGATTTCAGAATAACAAAAATAACCGATGGAAGGCTTACACAAGTAGCCGCCATTAGCATGCGTTAGATGTCCTTTTGAAAATGCAAAGATGGATCTATGCCTTGGGGTGATTAGTTGAGAAGAGTCTCACCAATCCATTAACTACAATCTACGGCCACATGTTTAACTTTGAGGCATAAAAGCAAAGATGAAAAAGCTAAGCGGAATATAAAAACATCTGAAGCAGCATTGAGAAGTGGAAATGTTTAATACTTGGAGAAGACAAAATGACGCAAGATAAGATTTAATTGTAGTCCACTGCGGTCAATGTCCAGTCAGGTCTACATCATAAATCATCACTCCACTCGATGTAGTGAGATAGAATTGCAAGTGAGCACAGAGATGCGAATGGAATTATCTAAAGGGAGGTGTGTCGACCGTAGAAGGAGGAGGTCGTAGTAAAAGAAGCAAAGGGGAGAGAGCTTTTGTGGTCAACACAGTGTAATGAGAGAAGGTAAATGCATGGGGGAACAACTTTTAACGTGTTAGGAGGTTAGGGCGGGTAAGTAAGGCATAATGCACTATTCTGTGCGTTAGACTATCAAGTTTACTGGAAGAACGATGGGTCGCTCACAGACGTCCTTTTTTATTAAGCATGGAATAGCAGGATATTAGGGAAGAGTTCTCCTTCGAGGCATATTTTGGTCTCTAATATCAACGAATTGTAAGGAAGACCAATTGGTCTTGATTCATATCGAATTCACCAAGCGAGGAAAATTGACTTTTAAATGGAATAAAATTATTTGCAGTAAATTGAATGATTAGGTGTGAGGACGGATTTGCATGAAATTGTAAGGATTGTGCGTCACTGCAGCCGTACGGCTAGCCTAACCTACTGTACTAAGTTTAACGATAGGCACACTAATGATAAACAGTGTGGTGGTTGAATTCAAAGGCCTCAAGTAAAGGGTAAGCTACCCCACTTCACCTCACATCACATCGCTGAGCTTGCACTGCTTCAGTCTGCGCCCACATGGCTCACAGGACCTTCAGCTTCGAGTCTGCGTTAACGTCGTAGTTACTACTCCGACTACGTGAAGATGAATCCAAAGTTCCCCTGTACTTGCAAATTTTTTCACAATAGTGGCTAAAATAGCACTCTGAAAGATGCAAGACTAAGTAATGATTGCTTTGACTTTCTTCAGCATGTGCTTTCATCAGTACAGGATTTCTAAAAATGTGCAAAGCGATCAAGGTGGCACTTTTGAACGTATACTTTAACAAAGCAATCATTTTCAGGTTAATGGACAGGCCGAAACAGTAAACCTTGCTTTACTCAATCTGCAACACTGCTTTTTCTGAATAAACAAGGGCTGTTTGTAATGGCCCTTGTTTGTCTTCCCTTCTGAGGCCAATGTCTTTTGATCATGGTAAGTCTCAGTTTATATTCGGAGGAAAATACCAAATAAGAAAGTGCATCGAAGTAACCCCGCCTTTTGATCCCCTTTTAACCAAAATTGCAATGTTCTTGGATCCTACTAACGTGGTGAATGGTATTGAATAAATGATGGAGCCCGATAAGTATGCTGTTGTATATTTCTGGAACATTCAAAAACCGCAACGCAGAAAATTCAGTCTCGTAAGGATAGTTTTGGTGGTCTTAAAACGGCATGATATTTAAGATGTAGAGGGAATTGCTATTAAATTTTTTGAGAGAATAATCGTGTGCAGTGCAATCAAAGGACGAATTGAGCCTATAAATTCAAGAGCATTTTTTATTGTTTAGACCTATGGATAATTTTCAGGGGGCAAACACAAAACTGTCTAGAAGTTGTCACATTTTACCGTTTTGTTTTAAAAAAATGAACTGCCTTCGCCGAAGAAGGCTTTGTTGCAGTTGTTTTCCGATCCGGTGGAAAATTGCATGGAAAAATCGTCTTTTAATTGAAGCTGTTTAACAGAAGAATTATTGAGATATAAAACGCCATTCATCGAAATGCCTACGGAAAGGGTCTGTGCTCGTACATCATTGAATTAAATGGATGGGCGAGTGAGGCATCGGGGAGACAAGAATTATGCATTAGTAGTGACAGCAAGTTTATGCTTTTTTCTTTAACTGCGTGGATGGGGTCTAGTAATCCATAGGTGCATTATCTCTTCACTCTTCTTCTCACTCTAAAACTCCCATGTTCTTGCATCTACACTCCTTGTCTGGGTAACTTAGTACCAGAAGCACAAGTTTGATTGGGATTTTTGTTTCTTGCCATGGAAATCCTACCATCTCTCTCGGCTTCAGGGATCCCCGAATCAAAGTTATCGCAGGCACGCATTTGAATGGTATTGGTTAATAAACGTAAAATCAAAACCCAGAACCAGTTGTATTAATTGGTGCTTTGGAAAGTAACGCTGTATTGCAAGCAACACAACACCACTTACAATAATCGGGTGAAGTATAAAGCTCACTCTATAATGCTTAAAGTGTTTATGGAAGGTGAAGCCCAATTAAGTAGTCGTAGAGTAGCAACAATGCCTTGTTTCATAACTTTCTTTGAAAAGACCATTTTCCTTGTACTATTACTGTTAGTTGAAAGTATTTAACACTTCAAATTTTCTTTTCTCATTCCTGCAACTTTGCCTTTTGAAGCAAGATTTACTACGTAACTGCACTTAAGCAATTGCCTTGCCCCGCTTTTTCCAACCAAACTGATGGTAGTGTAACCAAATACTTCTCTTTGCCTACTTAAACGAAGAGCTGGATGAATTCCAAATTTAATATTTTTTAGTCTGCTGGCTTTAGAATGGAATCCAAGTGCCTACCTTGGTTCGATTAGGATATACAAAAAATTTTGCGGTATTTGCTTTATTCTGAAAGGCTAATGGCAACATCTTAATGTAAACTATTTTCATTTTATTTATAAAAACACCTTCTTTTGGGTTACGTTGGCTTTTACCTAAGATTTTAATTATAATGTACATATGTCCTCATGTACTCATTTGACATTAATAAGTATGGTGTACGTCAAATTAAAAGACTGCAAGCTTCATGATAAATTTCAACGTGTCGCTTACTCAGGTTGGAAATTAATATAACACCAGGGGTTTGCTCTCTGCAAAAGTCACCATTTGGAGATGGTTGTAGGAAGAGCTGAGGAACAAATTGGCTATCCTGAGGAAAAACGTTCATGTTTTTGATCATTATGTCCCAGCCGATATCTCCCTGTGTGTAGGGCTATAGTCTATGTCTTCACCGACATAATATAGTGTAAAATGCTCACAACCCACGAAATGGGAGTACTTGCCCATATTTTCCTACAAAAGGTGTAAGCATCATTTATCTGACTGCAGAGCACGCACTACGACCGAAAGAAGCGATAAAATAAACGCATCTATTCACTTGTGTGCTCTCAAGCTTTACACACAATATAAAAGACATTAAGACAAGTGCAGACAACCTATCGTCCATCAAGGAGAAGAACTATTATAGTTCTTTATAACATTTCCACTGCCTGTAGTGCAGCGCCAGATCTACCACTCCTGAAGCAAATGCACTTTGCGCTAGAAATTTCATCTACTAGCACCTTTCATCACCTAAAGAGCACAAATTGGTGAGCAATCAACCGCGGACCATCATAACGTAGTGCATCCTTGTACTAAAATAGCACGTCTTGCAATAAGAGAACTGCTGACCCTCAGTAGTTTTGTAAAAATCATGAGTATTTCTCGCAAAGTAGCTTCAAAGATCACTTTCCTTTAAAAAATTACGAAAGCAATTTATTTAAGCTATCGAACAATTGTTTGATTTGACAGACACAGGCGACAGGTAGGACTGAGGCTTCTCGACAAGAACGAAAAAGACGCATTAAACTGCTGCCGTCTGGTTCCCTTACGGGAGGATGTGCTTTGTTTATGGTAGCTCTGGATGTCAGTAGCATTGCGAAAATTCGCAACCGTCACTTGCGAAACTAACATCTTGGCCATAAAGATGACTAACTTTGTAGTGGAGCGCCTAATGAACAGATATCCACATCTCAATCAAAGGATATTAGAGTTAGTCCTCTTGGGTATGTATTCAAATGCGAAACGTTTAGCCAAGATAAAAAGGTGTAAAGACAAGGGATCTCTGGTGCCAAGTCCTAGATACTAAACAGTACTTCATAACACACCATGCGATGGAAATAAGTTGGCGCGCCATCTTCCGTTAGTAGCATGGCACTTGCTTATTAATATATCAGCAGTGTCCTCGAGTAGGGAGCATCCAATTCACGTGGGGGCAATTTTCTCAAAATATGTTCCATTTGTAAGGCAATTTATAGTTTCCAAGAGCTATCAAAGAAATACCTGACTTTTAGCTCAATGTTAAGTAAATTTTCTAGCTTTTTCGCCAAAGTTGAGACATTTAAAAAAAGAAGAAAAGATAAACTCGGTCGTGAAACGAATTTTTGCATCACCAGACACAATCATATCCAACCCTTTCCTTAATTACAAGTGCTGCAGAAGATCACAATTACTACTTGTAAATATTGATATCAGATTGCGATCACTTTAAGCGTGAGAGGATCACCGATGAATGAAATGGAGTGGAAGCCATTTACACAACACAGGGATGCCCTGTCGTAAAATTATGCTTGCTTGGGAGGCGAAGTGATACAGCTATTTGAAGTGACAAGATCGGTTCGAAGAAGGGCTTATTCGATATACCCTTCCAGTGCTCCATCATTCCATCTTGATCCACTTGGAATGCTGCCACACCACTTTCTATTTAGCACTTAGACCTGCAGACTGGAACACCACGAGGGCACTGCCCTCTTTGGATCGCCGCGCAACTTAGAAATTACAACCCCTAATCTGGTACGTAAAAATGACCAGTTTCCGGGAAGCAGGCTGTCTGTCACCATCCTAACAAAGAATTTTCGCCATTCCAAAAAGGAAGGCGACTTAACCCCTGTGGGCGAAGAGTAGGCCATGACAAAAAAGAAGTTTGGACATTACCGAACACCAGAAGTATTAAGTGGTGAATGATGGCCAAAGATACTGCCACTTGCCCGAGGGTCAAGTCTAATGCTAAAGCATTGACAAAGATAAAGTAAAATGGGGAGGAGAGCTACTTTGGACCATCATCAGAGCCAGTGTCGGATATATAGAGCTCATGGTAATATTCCACGTCCTTTAATGTCAAGTGGGGAATATCCACAACCACTGCTGCGCCATCGACATCCTCCAGTCTGAAGAAACCACGTGCTCTAAGGTTCGGCACGGGAACTTGGAAACAACAGTGATATTGGAAAAAGGGACTCCGCACAGGCAGAAGTGGCTGCAAAATTAGTGGAAATCGTTATGCGCATAGCCATCAGTGAGGAAGTTTTCTTAGTACTCAATGATTGCCTGAATCTGTGTACACTTACCGTTTCGACGAAATCCGTGTCGTACTCGTTTAGAGGTCTGCCATCGACATAGCTGAAGTTCCAGTAAACTCCACAGAGTTTCATGCCCCTATGCGTCATATTCTCGATGAGAATCAGATAATGCCACTACATAAAGAAAGAAGGATGAGGGGTGGATAAAAGGAAGGAGGAAGAAGGAGAGAGTTCACCCTCTACTGCAGTCTGTTTCAGGCATATAGCTGTGTAAAATGCATGTCAACTTACGTAGTGCACCACAGCCTTGGTAAGGAGCTACAATTTGGGCAAAGAAGGGTCGTTTTCATGGAATTCTACTAACAAATGTTTATCATACACAAGAGGTTGCGTGAAAATTTGTTGCTACTTGTGGAGGTGAACAGGTGCCAACAATAGCGGACAACACTGGTGACTTTCGCGTACCTTGCGTCGGCCCATGAAGAATGGGACAGCAGTGACGCGAACGCCATCTGTGGTCGCTCGGTGCACACTTTGGACCTCAAAACGGGGGCCGAATTCCTTCATCATCCTCTCCAAACGATCTGTCGGGTAGACCTTGGGCTCTGCAAGGCAATGCGGGCTCCCTATTAAATATGCCAAAGAGCCTATCACGTGAAAGACTGGCTGACTAGAAGTGGGCCCGATGCCTCCAGCACAAAGCACAAAGTCATTAGTCTTGAGAAACACTAATTAGGGATGTTTGGGCAAAGGTGGGGCATTTAGAAAAAAGGAGAAATGAAAATCCCTGCAGTGAATCAAATTTTCAATCACCAGACGCGGTTGTTTCCAGTTTCAGTGAAAGCTTCAGGCAGACCCTATTCATGCGTATCAATGATTCATCAAATTGGCTTGACCTGAGGTCACATTTTGAAGAAGTCGGAGTATGAACTCACCCACATCTGGATCGAAGTGCATCAATTCCATGAAAGAGGGATTCATCAGTGGCAATTCATGTGTACAGGTGTAGGGGATAAGATCCTCATGGAATGCGTAGTCCATATCTAGATGCACAAATAACATGGATGTAAGTTTTTTGCACCTAGCAGCATCAAACAGAAAATGCCCCAATCACACTATCTTACTGTAATTTACTATAACTTTATCCATTAAAAATCTGCTTGTCTAAACGCAGCAGGATTGCTGGACACCAGTTAGCGTTAATCTTGTGACTTTCGTTCGTATCTTACGTTTGAATGCAGTTTGATGCAAGGTCGGTGATGTAGAAATCGCCATGGTCTACACTATGAGAAAAATTATCAAAATTATTTATTATTTTTGCACAACCTATTAGACGCCACATGGTTTGGTCATGAAGTTGGTGATTACCAGTCCTTGGTACCTTTTAACGGCTGTAGAAGACTTCCACCAGACCTGGTTTTTAGTGTCTTCTTAAAGCGTAGCACGGACACTAATGCAATCACTCGAACAAGATTATGCCTTAATGTTGACACCGTACGGATGCCTACAAAGTCTACTGCCATCTCAACGTGCTGTTCAAAGCAAGGTACTCAATGTAAAAACGAACCAGTCACATTAAAGGTGGATCGGACTGGGCCCTCGCCATTTGGTAAAAATGGAACTCCCACGATCATTGATGATCTCTGTAACCAAGCAGAAATAAGGATAATCAAATGTGTTTGTGACAAGAAATGCACACTCACGGATAAGGCGACATCACGAATGTCAAACAGCACTGCATACACATATATCGGTTGCTCGCACTTTACTGGAGTTTTCAAAGGTGGAACAATTTCCTCCGACCTAACCTGGCATGTACATCCCATCCTCCACCATGGATAGAAAAAGAACCTACGAATCATCCGGCGGATCGACTTTAAAAGTGATAGTTGCCATGTCATAGAGACTAGCTTTCCAGGAGTTGAGCACTACGCCACGGTAACCAAAGAGACGATGCAAGATTAGCTGACCCGGTTTGTAGCGCAATTTTTGTGAGGGTTGTAGTTGTCCTATGGGGGCTACCCTAGGAAGAGCAAAGTAACGAAGAAGTGAAATTACGAGTAAGGAGACGATGAGTTGGATTCCACTCGCATATGTGATGTAACAACCGGTAGGAATCGGTGGAATCGAAGGAGCTGACGCAAAAGCATGATCTGTGAGAAGAAGAAGGAGGGATTGGCTTAGGTGCAGCTACTGAGATAAAGGAGAAAAGTAAATGCAAATTTTGCTTTGACAAATCAGCTGATGACATGAAGTGGAAGGCTTGGAGAAGTGCACACTCACTGCAGAAGTCGAACAGTAAAGTGGGGAGCGAAAATCAAACGAATGAGGTGTAGTCGATTAATTAAACATCCTAAATTGTAGATTTTAGAAGGCATTCAAATAAAACACGGAGAAGATCCAAAGCGTGTATAAAGTTGTCCATCAGTTTCGGTTGGAAATACTGGAAGTATAAGGCAAAGTGGATTGAGGGTGAAACTTGCGTGTAAAAACGCCAATTATTGGCTTTGGACCTCGTTTTCCCTCCTCCAAACCTATTGCATGAGGCACAGAATGACAGAAGAAGAACGTCTTGGAAGCAAATATCCAAAATGTTGCATTTGTAACAGCCAAACTTTGTCAACACAAAGAAACAGGAGGTGGTATTTATCGGGCTCGATGGAAGTTATGTTTTATTGAGTAAGACCTTAGGTCCAGATACAATGAAGGTGTCAAGGAAATTAGTAGCTTATGCGCTTGCTGCAGTGCTGGGTCACGTGGAGGCCCCACCCTCGTGTATTTACAGTGTTCGACTTGCCTCGATACACTTCAAGTGTGTTCGCTTAATAACCGACAAGTCAGCGAGAGGAGGTAGTGAAACACGCCAGACCCTTTGGAGAAATGGTAACTTAAAGGAGAACCGAGAAACTAGAAGCCCACTTCAAAGTCAACAGCTGTACCCTATTTTTTCAAGGCCATAAGCAGGTGAGGAGCCATTGTGCGAAGCCAAGGAAAGAGCTGCTCAACCTAGACTCTTGGCCACACGTCCATTGGTGTTTATCCATCAAATTCAGCCAAACTCCCATAAAATGAGCAAATACGCAGGATGCCCAGCTTATATTAACTGTGTTTTTATGTGTGCGTCAACTTTCCGTCAGTTAACTCAGTGGATCTAAAATCCTTCCGATCAAGTTTGCAATCACAGATTCGAAGCCTAAATGTGCAAAACCTCACACATTGCACTGCTTTAGTCAAATGAGTCCTTCGTGGGTCAAAACAATGATAACGAATAAATGATACTTAAATTCAACTTGACATTTAGGTGACCACCTCCTCGAACCTCTGTAACTCAACCATTTCCACTCTGCGTCGACTATAATGCGAGGAGGTGGTACATCTGAATTGCCTTTTTACCACAGAAATTCTTCCTTTTCTAAAAAGGCTGTTATATAAAAGGCGCTAATCGAACCTGTCTTGAGTTATGGAATCATCGCCACGTTAGCGAACAGATTCTGATGGTGATTGGCGTCTTTAAAAGGAAATGCTCGGACTGCAGTAATCCAATCCGACTGTGTTGAGTGTTTGCAATAGCAAGATGGCTGGAAAGGGAACTGCCTTCCTCTGCTTGTTGTCGACATCTCTGAGAGTACGTGCTCAATGCAGATTTGGCGCAACACCCGCAGGGTCTTCTTGTTAGTAGGTGGAATCGAAGGTGCTATTTCTGGACACTTTGAAAAAGGCATCCACCACAACAAGGTAGGCGATATCATTAAGTGGTCCGACAAAATCGTAGAAAAGCGGGATTTTTCGCTGCTCATTGACATTGACAACGGCTTTTGACAAATTTGGTAGTACACTTTTCCATATGCAACCAACAAGCAAAACTGCTAATCACGGAATTCATGTGTCTGACTCAAGGAAGACTGGTATGAAATTGGCTAGACAAGTACCCTTACACTCAGTAACATTGACTGGATGAGCAGCTTTTCTCAAATTGCAATGATTTGCAGTAGTGGAATATTAGTTTTAGGTAAGCGCTGATAGGAAGAATTGGCCACCTAGTCAGATATGGTGTATTGCCAGTCTCTACATGTTTTTGGACTTTGTCGTTTCTTGAACTTCAGGAGCTGGCATAAGGAGAGCACGGACAGCATGAGCAGAGAAGTGTAAAGCAACAGTGATATCATTATTAGTAGAATGAAGAACCTCTGTCATAAAGTCTGTTTTAGTTTCTAGACGGTAATCGTTAAAAAGACGAGAAGGAGCACTAACTTAGGTGGCATTTTCGGTGTAATCACTGTAAAGTAATCCTTCCAATTTTTTATATTAGCTTGAAACAATAAGGCAGAGGAAACCTATTTTGATGAATTTGATATTGGTTGAGCACCAGATTGTAGGTTTAGGATGGACTGTGCCGTATGACGATGACCACGACGGGGAAGGAAGACTGGGGAAATTTCTTAGAAGAATGTCCTTGACTGTTTTGCTGATAAAGTAGAAGATCGTATCTAGTATTAAAAGATGTTATTTGGCACCGGGTTTAGTTTTGGTAGGCGGATCCAGTCGAGGCGGGATAGCTTGTGTTGTAACGTATGCAGGCGAATGACAAGCCATGGAAGATTACGACGGTACATATAATGGGTGTCTGGAGAGTTTTGTTTTATCATCACGGGCACTGGTGATGGTCTGAGTAACGTGATGGATTAATGGACCGCCTAGTGGCCAACGAAGCTCTAACGAAGCTTTATAAGAAGAGGAGAAAGAAGATGGGCTTGGTTGAACACAAACCACGAGATGATATATTTTGTTTATGCATGCTTCAAGGTAGCAACGTTACCTTCATCGTCACCACTGTGACAAAGTCTCAAATGAAGCCATACTTGAGGGGACTGCAGTAAAGCAACACGTAGGTTTGGCTGCAACCTAGGCTATATCACCACAAAGTCATCACCGTCTACTTCATCACGTGGGTCTCCAAGACGTACAAGTTGCCTAGTTAAGGTTTCGTAACCTTCCGAGAGGTGGCGCATGACACCAACAGTACACCCAAATGCCCGAAAATGTGGAAACCTTTAATTATGAGAACGTGACAAACACAACTGCATCGTCCTTTTCCAAGTGAATTGGTCTTTCGTCCGGAATCTTTAACTTTTGTATGCGTGAATAATTTGGTGTATGCCGTACGACTTAAATGATCGGCACACGCACGCACACACAAGCTCGAGCAAAAAGAGAGCTGTGCAGGTGAGGATCCGTTTAGTCAACCACCGTTAGTCCGAAATAATGTGATAGATGATGTGAATTTATTTATAGGTGAAGAAATACGAAATTACGATAACAATAAATGTTTGACCACCTGTGAGTGCAATATTTTCAATTTCTTGTAGAAATGAGGGTGAAGGCAATGGTGATGGCGTTGGTTGGAAAGTAAAAGTAGTGCACTCATTTGGGCAATCTGCTCAATTCCATTATGCAGAAGTGTTACGTGTGGGGGTGCTGTTCCAGAACTTAGCAGTAGAAAGCCACGCGGCATTGGCTCCGTGAACATGACTATGCCACATGAAGTAGAGACCGATTTCCAAAAAGCGTCTTTATTAACTAAACCGGAAGAGCATTAGGATGTGACCTGCCTATCTTTGGGGTCCAAAGCAAGCTGGATTTTAATTGATGTTTTCTGTTGTTTGAACCATTAAATTGACAGAAAAATAACAGCTTTTAGCTGCAGCAAAATCGGTTAGCATTTGTCTAGACCTTCGACGAAACCCAGGGCATAGTTAACCCCGCGAACACTGTATTCTTCTCAGGGCGCACTTTACTTCCATCATAGTGGTGTTTCTTTTTCTGATGGTGTCTAGAATCGGAATAAGGCGTCACGGAAGTGACTAATGGCTTTGATGGTGTTTTGTTTGTATTATTATTAAGACGGGTGGATACTTCATTCTCTGTAGTCTTGTGCCCCCATCTTGGTGGCATAACTTCCTGAGTTAGCTTTAACCTATCAACTTAGGTCCTCATGTATAATTCATGGAATATTTTCCTTCCTCTATCCCCGAAATGCCAATCAGTTTAGCCATGTTACTGAATATTTATCAGTGGAAGTGGGTGTCACAAGTGATAAAGTTAAGTGGTTTTGTAGGTCCGTATCGCTGTACTGTATCTCAATACTTTAAAAATACCGATGAAGAGGAACAATGAATAATATGCCCAAGTTACAAGGACTTCTAAATTAGACGAGCAAATGAGAGCGTGTCAGCAGCATGGAAGCTAACTGAGGAGGTCTTCATAAAATGTAACATGTCCGTGTATTTTGCCCTATCCTTGTCAGGTGTGTCACTCACTCGCCTGACTTCCAGTGAATATATGGCGAAATTTCGCTCATGTCACAGTGCTTCCAAGAAGGAAAGGAAGAGTAGCCTACCATGTTATTGACAACTGTATAATGGCTAAGTACAAAGGTTCTATCGACTTGAATTAGTTATTATAAATGATTTGTAAAACAATCTTTCCAAATTTTTGATGATAAGCAAAATGCTTGCTTAACTAAAAAAGATACTTAGAGTGACTGCCATCAGGTAAGCAGAAATGCCCAAACACTGATTTTACCTTTCGTGTCCAATTAATACTCATCCCAAGGCTTGAACAACTAGTCTTTCAATAAATCGGCCTTAATTTCTCGAAAAAATGTGCGAGCAGAAATGGTTGTTCACGGTAGATGTGTGTCTGTGTGTTTCCTCATTTGTTACCGATACAATGGCATTGCCTTTTCGTTACACTATTCGCCACATTCAACAGATATGACTTTTGAGCTCCACACGTCGATTACTTCGTGATAGAAAGTGGGTTAACAGGCGCAGATGCCGCCGAATATTCAGTAAATCCTTCATTCATTTGCAGCTCAGTTTTCCCCATTAATGTGCTCCTCGATTTTACCAAGTAGAAATTGTGCACCAAAATTTGTCAAATTTTTGGCAAATGGGTGTAACCTTGCAGTTTTTCTTTTTCATGGACGAAGGGAAGAATTGGTATACCTAGCGTTGACCCCAACACTAATCATAAATCACGATATCGTTTATGGTTGCTACTGATAAAATTTTAGTAATATGCAGCTGTGTTTTGGGTAGACGGAAAAATACTAATCATACGGAGTGCCCTCCTATGTCTTGCGGTAAAATGGTGAGTTTTACTTAACTTTAGTTTCATTATTGTCATTCGTATTTCATTTCCGCCGCTTGTGCTTTCACCAAGCAAAAGAGTACTTCCTCAGCCCTTCCACATTTTAGTGAACATTGGCTTTTCTAGTTGGAAAAGGAGGGTCATGTTAAGTTGATAAATCGGTCATACCTACTCTCGTCGGTCTGTCTGTTTCCTTAAAGACCTGCAACAAGCAATTTACTATGCCAAAAAATGCTCTGTTAATACCTGTACTTCTGAGGTTTGGACACATTGGAAATGATCCCTTCCATATACTATGCCTATTCCAGTTAAAACCCTACCGTGAATTTTGATTAACCCTACATTATACTTGACAAGGCAATGGTTTGCCGATAAAAAATTCTTTCACATTTCTTTCGCACTTGCAATCGCAGGTTATTTTGGTCACCGAAATCAGTACAAATTCCTGCGAATACATTAAAAAAGATATCCACCTTAATGTAGTGATGGAGAGATGGATTAAAAAATTGTTTGGCATTGCCATAATTAAAGCAATTTGCTTTGATTGGTTGAGTGGTCCTGATTGTTTTTTAAAGTAAAATTTTTCCTTACTTCATGCTGATTAGGTAGATGTCTACTGTGAAGAACCACAAAATCCTTAAGGTGTGGTGAAATCCGGGAGAATTTGCTCACTTTCTGAAGATCAATTATCTATAGTGGCTCAGACGATCCTGCGCAAAATAAACAATTCCTTTTTAAATAAATAAATATAAACCCAGATTGCCCTTTCTTGATTGAAAAAACTTCCTATATTTGCGCGAATCATCTTTTTAAGTCTCTTTGAGACAAAGCCATGGCTAAAAGATGCTATGGGTTTGGGATATGAAGCACCCTAATGTACTCACTCCTTCCTATTGTTATCCCCTATTTATTTAACTCTTCGTTTTGCTTTCGTGGGCAATTAATTCTCCGGGTTATGACAGTAGCCCCTCATCCCTCTGCGTCAGCACTACGCATTACACCCTGGCATTGTGTTCTTCTACCGTCTTCAGGAAAGCCTCAAGGTGCTAATATTGTGTCTGTATTTTATTAATCAGTCTTGGGTAAAGCATATACGTGATTCAACACCTCGTAACGAATTTACTAAAGCTTTATGCAGAATATAAGAATACTCGATACCAAACTGAACAAAATTCATGACAAAAGTTGCTTAAAATTAGTACGGAGTGATAAAAAATTGAGCATTCGAGCTATTTTTTGGCAGTAAACGCTACCTTTGCATTTGTTTAACAATCAGTTTTATAAACGAGTTATGGCGCTTTAAAAATAAATTTTATTCACGATGTCGTCAGCCGCATTTAATAATCGAGAAAAAATATTCATTTGACTTTGGTGCAGGGCGGTAAGTCAATCAGAAGGGCTGCGGATCATTGGCATAGCGCGAAGGTCATCTCGCTCAGCGGAAGTACAAAAATGGAGCCTTAAATGCCCACGTAAACAAAACGTAAAGTCGAACGAATAAACATGGTGTTAGATAGACCCTTGTCCATTGTATCGTCCACCCTCCGGCACTTTCCTTGGTCAGCCTCCAGCATCGACCATCACAAAGTGGTCGGTGCTGTAAGGAAAACAACCATCTACCAATCGCGTCAATCATTGTGCTTGTTGTAACTGAGTTGTCTGATTGCAATCTCACTGATCCGCCTTGACAATGCCAAGGGATCTAGCGCGTTGACCTGTCTTGAGAATCACACAAAGGAAGAAAAAGTTGCTGGCCAACTCGTATGTCCATCACTAATTGTAAGAACACTGGCCTAAAGGGAGACTCGATTAATAAGAACGGCGTTAGAAATGCCTTCGCCAGGGTTAGATTTCATATCTGTTTTTCCTTACCAATTTGCTCTCACTTTAGTAATGCTCTGCATTTTCTACCTGGGTTCCATTCAGTTATTAGAGAGGTAAAGGAGGTATACCGTACTCGCCTAACTTACATTTTCGTAAAGGTACCGTACAGAGCCCTGTAACAGTTGTTTAGATGGTTCAGTTGTTAACAGCATTCCTGAAGTACAAGAGAATGGGGAAGTCGCTGGAGGTAGACCTCATTATCAACCTTTTCTATTAAGGGACGTCACAGTTTCTCACATCCACAGTATTAAATAAAAGAAATCAGAGTAGCTGTTTATTAGGACCGGGCTCACTTTCCACTGCCACCGATGTAGTGCTCCGAGTCTTTCAGAAGGACCGGGAGGCTACTGACATGGCCCGTTCGTCCATACCGCCCAGTGGGCGAACAAAGACGGGGCCTAAGGTACCCGCGAAATCAAAAAAAAGAATTTAACAATTTCTGCATCGGATGCTCATAACTTTTTTTATAAATTTAAATAAAAAATTTTTCTTTTAATTTTATTTGTTAGTGACTTCACACAGACTGTTTGTTAAGGTACAAAATGCTTTTAAAATGCGAAAATTATTCACCCACTTTAAATTTGCTTATCTTACTCTGAATTTACCAAATGAAGCAGGATCTATCTTGTACTCCTTTCTTTCATCAATTTCTTTAGTAATTTGTCACTTTCGGATACTGAATCCCCCCTCTCCCTCTCCCTATGGGAGGGCATTAATCGCCTGTCTAACATGCGCTCCGTAGAGCCAAGCCTGTACTCTTTCAAAGTACTTTAGAGCTGGAAGGAGTAGAAAGTACAAATGCGCTACAAAGCCAATAGCGGTATGTATGTGCTGTCGCTTGATTGGAGGCTCTGCAAAAGCACTTCTCGGGCGAATTCGGCAGTGTTTAAAGAGAGAAAGAAAAAGAAATGATAGCCAAGGGAAGAAGAGAATTAATTCAAATTTTTTGTGGCAAAGCTTTGTCTTTTTTGCATTTCTGTGCTCATCGTGTAACTAATGAAGACGTGACTTTGAGCCCCAATCTCAGGCCATACGGTCATTTGCGCCAGGGGGTAGCATTGCTGTCACATCGCTTAAACGAGCCATCAATGTCTGCAAATTTTAATCTTTGAACAAACAGGGAAACAGTGAATTAAATGGCACCCCTCCAGCTGACCACAAAATGAAAATGAAGGTCAAGCGACACATTGGACTGATGCGACATGACCCGGAGAAGATATTGCATTGTACACTAACTACAAACTCACAATCTCATAGTTGTCATCTAATTTTGTGCCTCAGTTTTGACGCTCTTTATAATTTCTTCCCTTTTGTATGTAAGGTACTAAAAAGAAAGCTGCGCAAAACTTCCAGTGGATTTTAATGTCATGTACTCTGGCAGACAAATTGCTTGAAAATTGTCTATTTATGTAGAAGTACTGGAAGCCGCTATAGTAGTTGATAGCAGTTAGCAGAAATTTTTTCACAGGTCATAGACATTTAAGGAGACGCAATTGGACATTTGTTTCGGTTTGTCCAAACAAATTCCTGTACTTCGTACTTTGGTCAGTTAGCAGTTCTTCTAGAGGGAGTTAGCCCATCACCGAATTTCTTCATATCATACACTTTTGCGGGGATATTGTGCGATGTGTTTGCTAATAAACAGTTTTACTCCGCTCTGTTGCTCTGCAGAATGAACAACTTTGAATTGCAGTGAGTGGCCCCATATTTAACCATTGTTGGGGAAATCCTTCCTGTAATCCACTTAGGCGGAGGTCTATCCTGAGGTACTATTAAAAACACCATTATTCTTCAAAGAGAATGGTTAAAGTCAGTTGTGCTCCTCTACGCTCTGTCTCTAAGGTCGCCCAGCTTGCCATGCCTGCATGTGACAGGAACTGAGGTTCATGTCGCCAAAGTAAATACGGCCTTGTAAAGTTTTCTGCTTCAGCGCCCATCTATATGCTCACCTTTACCTATCCTTAGGCTTCCTAAGCTTTTATATTAATCCGCCCGAAGCTGAAGGTAGTTTAAAACTACGTTCTATGCATATTCTAATCGCTACTTAGCACCTTGTGACCTTGCTTTCGTAGATTTAAGGGGAAAATAATCTAAAATCCATCGAATATTGCCATTAGCTTCAAGGTATAGTGGCGGATATATATGAGGTGAACCCTTCCACTTTGAAGTGAGCAGAACACCGTACTACCAGTTTGTGCAATTTTTTTCTTATCCAGCTAATTGTTCTTTCTTCATCATCAAATGTTCTTTCGTCTTTCAAGGTCAAAAATTGTCTTTTATCCATTGCAAGGATACTGAACAATTTCCGTAACACATTCCACCATTCTTGATGTAGGATTAACCAAAAATCGTATCCTCAATTGATGCGGCAGAAAAAGGCCTATCATTTCCTCTCTGCCTTCCCATTCATTTAACACCAGATCGGAGGCGGTATTTTCGCGGAACGTATCAAACACTAGTACTCACGGTCCCACCTTCCCTTCGCTTCCACTTTAATGTTTAATTTGCATCCGATACTGAACAAAAAGCCACGTGTTGCATTTACGTGTGTGTGTGTGCGTATGTGTGTGATTTTTCAAACAGACTGACGCAACTCCAAACTGCAAAGACAGCGAGAACAAGAGGGCGTGTGACCTTGATGTGTCCGCTTTGCAAGCACTTGATTGGCTAATTGTTCAGCGATGTGATTCCGTCATTTTATGCGGTGTGTGTATTTGTGCGTGTGTTTGGGTAGGTAGGTGCGTGTGTGCTTGCGCGTGTTTCATACCTATTGCAGTAATTAAAGTTCCATTTTGGCGACACTTGGCTCTCTCTTGCTCTCTCTCTCTCTCTCTCCCAATACATTCTTCATTCCACCCTTTTCCCTCTCTCGCGCACACACACACACACACACACAAAAGTGCTCCGAGGACAACATTTCGTACTTGCATCACTTATTTTTCTCCATTTTGCACCTGGAAAGGACGTTGTCATCTAACTTTGATAGTAATTCTTCAGCTAACTTCAACAACTGCCTGTTTACTCTTTGCAGACTATCAATCTTCAAACTTACTGATTGGTCACTTGGTTTAATTTACAGCTTGAAATGCCGATAAGGAAGGCTTATAAGAAGGAGAGAGTGAGGTCGAACTTCTTTTTAGGCGAGCTGCTGTCAGTGGCCCCATGATCACTCTCCAGCTTCTGCCATTTAACCTTCCTATGAAATTGAGTCGATCTCGAGACAAGAATAAAGTGCTACGACAAATTTGCATGTCATTAGCAATTATACATGCTGTGGATGGAGTAGGAGATCCTGAATACCCAAAAATGGTCCTGAAAAAGGCTGAATAACATATTCTCAGTTAGCCCGTCCCACATGCACTCTTTTTTGAAGGTATATGTCTATGAGGCATATGAAGGAGGTGGCATCATAGCGTTCTTTTGAGCAACTACTGAAAAGGCGTTTTCAAGACTTTTGAATGTAGGCCCTCTTCCTTATTGAATTATGCAAAATTACATTATTTTCCATTTGTAAATTCTTCACCAACTCAGCCATTCATGGTAGACGCCTTCTTCCTCTGACTTCTGGGTGTTTCCTACGTAGTCGCTTACTGCTGCAATTAATGTATCGCCTCGGACCGTCAATAAGGAAGGCAGTTTAGTATCACCAGACAGGAAGGGTTGAAACTTGAATCCTCTACATCAAAGAAGTAAGTGAACCCCAGCGACAAGGTCCGCCGTAGCTGTCTTTGTAATATGGCGACCTTTTAGCCCAAGCGCATAATAAAGCGGGTGGCCCCACCGTTCTGAAAGGGCCAAGTAAGGGCCTAAAAAGGTATCGCTTTCTTATGTTCTCTACAGTTGTTTAGTGGATTAATTTGTTTTGCAGTACGTTGATTCCCTGCTCCCTTCTTGACCACATGGCTATTTGCCTACATGCATCCCTGATTAAGAACATCAGGAGGATAAATTTGCTGCCTTTTTTAAGCTAATTTTCAGTATTTTTCCAGTGAATTGGTTCCTTCATTTTTTGGTCTCACAAAGCCTCCTCCTGTGCCTCTAGAACTAAAAATTCTACTTAAAGACATGTTAAGAGCCTTTCCGTCCTCTAATAAAAGGCGTCATTTTTAGGAGGCATTCCTTCCATAACTCTGTTTTACTTATTTCACATGTTTTATAAATGCACAAATAGCATTATTATTATTCCTATTACAAGTGAAAGTGTTTTTTAATCGCTTCTGGTGAAGTTTCACCTTTTAAATTTTGGAAAGCCACTTTAGTATGAAAATTTGTGTGTACCCTACGGTGAGTTCATAAATACTTAGAAGAAATTTAGAAACTCCAAGTATTGACTCATTTATCAACCAATTCTTTGCCCAAATACATGGGGCAAAAGAATCGTCATTAAAAATTGAAGAGTAAAGTAAGAAGGGGTGATCGTTCTGGCTTTTTTTCCAAATTTATAGAATACCGGTGATAAATGTACTCACCAAAGACCCTCTTTACTAGAAAAAAATCATAAATACATTGTTTCTTACGCATCAAAATCTTGCTACCTGGTTATACAGTCTTCAAATTGCCTTTCTTTTGTGGAAGTTAGTAGAAGGTAGTTTTCATTTAAGGCATTCCTGCGCCTTGGGAATTCGTTTTATTTTGAAGGATTTTGCAAAAAATAGGGGATCTCGTAGGGCAGAATTGTGGTGCATAAAAAGTTTGCTATTTAACCCCCTCCCCGTATTTCCGCAATCCAGTTTTTGCACGGCTACTCTAGAATGGAATAGATTTGGGGATGAGGGGGACAATCTACGGGAGAGGAGCGTGGAATTTAGGTGCGGTTAGTGTGCAGAAAGAAATATGGTCACTTTTCCTACTTGCAAAGCCTAATCATTTATAAAGTACATAAAAGGAGACACCCTAGATCTAGCCATGTCTGCCTCTTTTCTTAAGGTTTATTCCATTTACTTTAGATTTCTTTAAGGCAAAGATTTAGTGAGGTAGCATCTCTTTTCCTCTTAGTCCTAAAGTGATGATCCTTTCATCTGTAAGTTTTGTGGTCTAGAATAGGAGATCTTGTACTTTTGTGTAAGAATTGGATCTTCGCTCGACTAATTGACTAGTCTTGGCACTTTTTGGAAGAGTAGTTTTTTTCTGCACATTTACCAATTATATCAGGTAGATAAATCGTAGCCATAACATTTGTTTAGACCTTAGCAACCGAACGCTTCTATCTGTGGCTCATCTCAGGCACAGATACGCATAAAGCAGGTATATTCTCCCAGGGTATGAAGTGATGCGTGCCTTAGAAGTGCGGGGTGGATAGCGAGTGGCTCGTTTGGGGATAACCAGTAATATGCTAGTTCCCCTAACAAGCGTTGCAATGCAGAAGTGGCTCCTTGTCATAAATCAGGCATAAAATAATCCAAAATGGTGTACTTTTATGCCATTAACGGAAGAAATGAAGAAGGCCATACCGACAGTCTTCGGAGTCCCCTGCTGTCTTTTGATGTACATAGGTGGGTTCCATTCGTTCAATTGCCCCAGCAACTTTCTTTTTCTAAATGTTTTAGGTTTAAGCAAATTTGCTTAATCAATTAAGGTAAAGTAGACTGAATGTTTGTTAGGTCACATTAGTCTCCAACGCTCGTGTTAGTGGTCAATAGTAGCGCTCCATTAATTCTGAATTATTAATAAGAATGGAGTGGGACCTTCCCCAATTGGTGCACCTATCTTTGAGTGATTTATCACAGTCATCAGGTGCTGATACATTTCTGGCTGTACTTCTGGCTGCCACACTTCCTCTTGATACTGATCAAGAGGTGGAACAAGAAGCCTCACCATTTATGGCTAGACATACCCGACTCGCAACCTTCAGGTTAAACCCACACTGCATGGTATTGGGGCACCAAGAAGGAAGGGAAGAGTAGTAAACACGATTAAGAGTACTGCACTTTTGGATCGGCACATGTTGATCCAAACAGTGACATGCATTCCACAAATCACTTGAACGAGATATTCTGGAATCCGTACGAACCTTTTCGGCTGCCTGAAGTTTTATTAAGTACTTCATCACCCTTCGGTGTAATATTCTGCTAATAATCACACATCATGACCAACGTAGCCTATAAATTGACTTTAATTCTACCACCTCCTCCCCCTCCTCCTGGGGGGATCGGTTTGCCCAAATCTGCCCACCCGCCACCTAAAATGGTGCATTTACATAAACATGTGTTACGGCAGATTAATAAGTCAGAAAATGTCATAACATAGGCATTAATTCTGACGTCTGTTTTTTCAGTTTTAATGAGATACAAAGTTTCTTGTTTTCATGTGTTCCTTTTAAACACCACGATTTAAAAGTACTTAGCAAAGTTTATTCAATCAAACACTCCTCAATTCCATCATTTAATATCTGTGAGCTGTCTTCTTAAACTTGAATTCTCCCACATAACTTGTATCCTTTGTAAAATCCCACATTACACATTCCCTTAGTTGTCTCCATCCAGAGGTCTGAAAGAGGCGGAAAAAGGGCTAAGGCCTGCACTTCATTCCCAACCAGTCAATTCCAAAAGTGGTTCTAAATTCGAGAAATTCACTCATCAAAATTGCGGTGAATTAAACTGACAATAACACTAAGTAATCTTTAAGCATTGCGTTTAACAATGATTTTTATTGGTTTGACCACATAATCGACAATTTTAACCTCTATTTTGAATACCATCTAGCCTAATTTGGTAGTGTTTGAAAACTTAGTGAGATATCAACAACATGCCTAAATAAAATGTGTGCCATCTGTGAGTAAAGCAAAGTTTGAGAAAAAGCACATTGTGGGATGAGAAGGCCTACGCAATGGCGGGATGAATGGATAAGAATATACCATATCTAAAAGAAGCACTATTCCACAAATCTCTCACGAACCATCCGCCAAAAACTGTGGTAATAAATGAGCGCAACCGTGCTCTCACGTAATTTGGCCCCAACAACCACCCGGAGAGCTGTAACACGCATACCGAGACTGGCGTAACAGTCGTTATTTATTCTCGCACGCTCAACACAATTGGGATGTTGATGATGCTGCCCCCGAGGATGTTAACGATGATGACGGCGGCGGCAGCGACAATGCCGCGGCAATGATACCAGCTCAGACAGGGACGTAAATTAAAACCGCCTCGTCACCCACACTTGGGAGTGTATGTGATTTTGGCCGCCGGCCAATGCACGTATGTGCGTGCGTGCGTACGTGCAAGCCCGCGGGAGTGCGTACGTGTGAGCAAAACTCTTGCGGACCAGTGGGGAGATGCCACGCAGGGAACGATAACGCCCACGTCAACGCAGCCTGTAGCCCTCGTCGAGAGTGGGAGCGTTAGTTTTCGCGTGTCTCCCTATCCTCTGTCCATTTCGCCTATCTCAAGCCGTTGGGAAGAGCTTTCAGTTAGACGTACTTCAGTAGTTACGTGCATACCTTAGAGGTAGGAAATAAATCATGTCAGTCTGGAAGTAGTTGTATGATTAGTGCAACAAAGCACCAGGAAACTGGTAGCCTAGGTGGCACAAGAGAAACTTCATGAAGCTTGCGTATAAGTCAAAGGGCAGAAGGATCAAATAGTATGCGCAAGTAATTGGGTAATTTGATCTTTCCCCACCAACGTCACATTTATGTGACGCCTGGATCTTTTTTTCTGTGCGACGTGTATCTTTTAATGGTTTAAACATTAAATTATGTTGCAAACATACCGGAAAAATTTAAGAAGACACCAGTTATTAATAAAGGCTGTTGATCAGCAATTGATATGTTCAGTTTGGTGTTGGATCCATTTCAGAGAAAGAAAACGTCTAGTTGATTGCAATAATTGAAAAATCTTCTGCGACTTTGTTACCAAATGTTAGCGGGTGTAAATAAGTTGATAGCTTGGAACTGTCGATTAAAATATAAAAGTGGGAAGAGGTAGTTCCATAACCACCATTGCCTTTTATGCAAAACTGATGGTGCGTCAAAGTGTGGAAATATTCCACAAATTCGACTCCTATGATGATTTATTTTGACCAAACGAACTTTGCATATCAAACGTTTCATAAGAATGGACCTAAGTTCACGTATCGTACACTCTTTTCTATACGGATATTTTATAAGTAAAACTTGATTTGAGGCTACAACTGGTTCTACCGGGAAATTCATCCTTCTTTACCTATCGTAAATATTCCTTTGTATCTGAGGCATTCAAGGTATTGGTAGGTCAATTAAGAGAGAACCTGCTTTACATAAAATGGAGCGCACCCCTTCTAAAACCGTTGTAATTTATCATCCTTTTCCAACAAGACCCAGGCCTGCACATTCCAATTTTGTCATAGGGCTTCAATGTGTTAGTTCCAGCCATATTCGTTCCTATTTCTCTTTTATTTCCCAATGAACTATTTTGCATCCGAATGTTCGATACCAAGAATAGGTAATCACAATGCAGATAAACAAGCACTACTGCGCAGTTTGCAAGACTAGGACTTTTTCGACTGACTGATCAGTCCTGATTGTTTCTAAATAAGAAGTTGCTTCCGCACCTGTTGCAGTAGATAAAACTCATTTGTAACCTTCGTTTCGTTTTTACCAAACGCAATCTATTACACACACACAGAGAGCGGATAAAATGATTGGTGGGAACTAAGTGTTACGCATCCTAGAAGAGTGTGTATATGTGTAAGGAGGGGGTAAAGAGAGGATATTATTGAGATAATTAATTGCATGCATATTTACCTTACGAAAGTCTCCTTACAGAAGTCATTTCTCATCACATGTTAGTCAGTCAACAAATAATCTAAAGACAGAGCGCTTTTTACCTCATACGGACGAAATGAATAATAATAATAAATTAGTGATCTCTGGAGCTCATTTTTACCTCTTAATGGTTTTGAGTAGAACCGGCATGCTTATTAGTCGTCACGACCTTCCCTTCCTCAGTTCATCAATCAGGTAAAATTTGCGCAAAATTTGGTCATGCCCAGTTAGCCCTCAATGATCGTAACAAGAGTTCTAGCTTGCTGCACCATTGTTTATTGTTTAATCACAAGGATAAGATTTTGTTCTTTAACTATTTCTGTCCGATACTCTCCTTCTCTCAAAAGTTTAGGCTACAGATGTATTAAACCTTTAAAAAAGCTCATGTTTTTTGAGCACTTTAAAACGTTTCCTGGATTATCCAATTTCACTTACGGGTAATCGTTAGACGTGCCAAGGTCAGTCAATGTACAATTAGCTCGCGAGAATGGGGCCACCAGGTGTCTCTGACCTTCAGCCAACAATGACACGCAAGTACCTTGTCTGCGGCTTTCTTATACGGGTCAAAGCTGGCATCGGAATTCACCATCTTATTGACTCTACACATTTGAAACGCAGCGGCATCCAAGCTCAGCCACCTAAATATCAATTTAGAGCAGCGTACACAAATTTTTTTACCTCTGGTACTAGAAGAGCCCATGAAGACTACCGTGTTGATTGATTGACACTTCCCCATGCTTCGTGGCATATGCAAGGTAAAAGATGGAACTGCACAAGTTCTTGAAAGTTACCTCGAGACTACGAAACTATCGGTCACCTGATAGTCGCTTCTATTGAGGGTCGATTTTAAAATTAGTGCGATCTCTTTCACAAGTTGGCGTAGATTGAGACTGACAGTTATGGAGGCATTTCTCGATTTTAAAAGTGGAGATGGGGTAAAATGGAGGTAAAATGAGTTGGCAAGTCTCAATGTCTGACTCACTCCAAATTTTCTCTGGTGTCGTAATGCTCCACGCCAGTTGTTGGGCTATAGACATGACCAAAAATTGAATCCAGTGGGATGAATTTGCGAATAGCAGGCTATGAAGTGGTCGTGTGGTCCAGGTACCACTAAAACAAAACACTACGCATGTCAAGAGCCAAGTCGATGATGTCTTGCATCGAATCTTGGCACGACTAGAAAAGACGCATTGCCAAGACGAAATTAAAATACGACCTAAGAGGAATGAAGAGTAGTTAGCTAAGTATTGAATTACATCATAGACCTCGGCGCTTCTCTTAGTCGACAACAGCGAAGTCGATGCGTCAGCACCGCCCACTCACAAGAGCGGAATTAGCAGTCGTGGCAGTTTTGTGGGGGCGGAAAAGCATTTTATTTAATAGCAATGAGAATGATGCGCCTCGTCGATCCCGATGGCACCTGTCTATCGACGATTTCTAAACTATTAAAATATGTTAGCACTTCACTTCTTAATTGGTATTTGGAGGAGCAGACGATGGTAGTGATTAGCGAATTTGAAGTTAGCTTTGATCATTTTGCCATGTTGTTTCTCCGTAGTTATTTCAGGCATCCACACCACCACAGCAGTTCGGTGAAGAACCGTTTCAATTGGGAACTTTTGTCCAATGTGGACGAGATCTCCTTGGCACCAGTACCAAACTATTGTCTCAATCTTCCTGGGTTTTATGATGGGAAGGGATGGGACGCATCAGCATGGAAAGAGATTCGGTTGACTATAGACATGACCAGAGAGGCATTTGCGAATTTGTAGCAAGGAGATATAATGCACCTAAATTACTGACTTTCCATCAAGGCTGATTTTAATCTAAGCGTGTGGAGGTGGGAATCCTTTCTTACTCACTCACCTTGAAAGGTACTTGGATCTGATCGGCTGAGAAGGAGAGAATGGTTATTTTCGAAATGTTGAACACGGTGCTGAAAGTCTACTAATAAGCTGCCGTAAAAAGCATCATTTGAAGCCTTGGTTCTTCATAACAGAGAACTTCCGAAGGACCTCTTTATCGTATCATGTGCACCAATGTAGATTCCTGCAACAAATCCTCAATCAATCGCATAAAATCTTTCTCGTTCTGTCCAATTTAGGCACCCTAAAACAAGCAACACTCCCTTTTTCAATGATTACGAAGTATAATGTTACCGCCTTGACATCGCATTTCTGTATAGCACACTTCCATGATTCTGAGTTTTGGGTTGTGTCCATTGTTTAGCGCAGGCAAGAATACATATGCAAAAAGTGGCAATTTTTTTTGTTCTGCATAAAAATTCAGGTATAACATTCAGTTAAATCGGTGTGTCGGATAAATCCAAAGTTAGAGTTATTAAATGAAATTTTTTGTTCTCATTATGCTGGGTTATAAACCCAACCATTGGTAATGAGCATTTTAGGGGCTATATACCACTTCTTTACAAGTAGTAGCACTGTGAGTACAAGCTATTGTTTTAACGCGCATATTTTTGGTTTGGTGGTATGTTCAAACTGTATAAATGAACACTTCAAAATGGTTCGTCTCAAACAAGGTGTATAAAGCTATTCTGTCAGCAGTTGATAAGTTCTCTTCACTATGTGGAACTGGCGGAAGAACTTAATATTAACCGGTTGCCCCAACGGAGACTCAACGAGGGGTTAGACGATGCTAGTCACAAGTACTAATTTTGAAGGAAGTTCACTGTGGTGGGATCAAGAATACACGGCTTCCTTACACTTAGAAGGAAATTGAATTGCGTCTAAGTCAAAGACGAGGCCGAACGATGTTTGATGCCGAACTGAATATTGGAGTGTATCCACACTCGAAGAAAAGCACAAATCTTTGCTTCTTAGCATTAGCTTTCAATTGGCCAACAAATTACAAAGTATAGGAGGCATGTCACCACTAACAGCTATACGTCAAGCGCTTTCATTGAGGCTCAGATGGTGGATTCCACTAGGTTCCATGCTCCACTTTTATGCACGTGTTCTCCTAACTATTGAGTTTGCTCAATGTTGAAAACCACCAGACCCTTCAATGAACATTTAGTGGTAACAGCAGAAGCCGCATTTGTACCCATTGTTGCTCACCTTGTGGTGATGGACACACTACTGAATTATAAGCAGTTAAAAGTTTTAATGGATTTTCCTCTGCTGTGAGTGAATTTGTTTATTTAAAGGTGTTATAATGTGAAGCTACTTTGGATTGGCCACTCCCACACAGTGATGGTCAACGTTATTCAATTCGCACAACACCAAGTTTGTAAAATTAAGACAAGTGGGTAGACCGAGTCGGAGTACTATCGTTTCTCACTGTGGTGTTGCTATATTCGCTCTGCTTTAGTTGGATTGAGGAAGCCCACAACGTCAACAGAAAACATAAATATTACAGGATTTTTAATGTTTGCATTCGATTTTCGACACCCTTCTTAAGCAAATAATCCCCGACATTAGCAGCCCCTTATTTTGGGCAGCAGCTAGTCCAACTCGTCTAGAACCTTACATAAGAACGTTGGATTCGGCATGACCGCTTTATGAACGACCCATTTGAGGGGCGTGGTAAGTGTATGGGCCACTTCAGACCTCCAGTGCTTCAAGATTAGGTTAGTGCAGTTGCACTTTCTTTGTCATTCAGGTGCCGGACTGCTAATCCTCGGCCATCTTAAAAATTTTGGTGCTAAAGGCCATATTTACTTTATTTGACCAGCCTGACTCACTCCATGTGATTGTGTTTAACACTTATAATAGCTTATTCTCATTTGAGCGTTCTCAGATTTACTCTGAAGGATTTCTTCGTACGGCATGGCTATGGCCACCTTAAACACGCTTCTACTGTTGGGTTGACTTAACGCAGTAGTCCATTAATTCGTATTCAAAGCGGCTGTTTTCCGTATCGCCTATAAATGCATTATTTCGAAGTCAACGCGGTGCAGCAAGGCTACATTTACTCGCCTAAGCCAGGACTTCAGTCTCTGCTGTTTATACCGCAGTTCTGCTTACAAAGACCTATTTTCATGACTAGTAGTCGTATCTCACTCTTCCTGTAAGGTAAAGTAAACCTAAGTAAACTAGCCTTTCATAGGCTTTCGTGGACCTTCGAACTGATACCTAGGATTTAATTATAGCCCATAACCAGAGCGGATTGCATTGGGGTGGGGCAGGGTAAGAAGGGGAGGAACGATTAAATCCGCCATTGGGCGTTCTTACTCTGTGAGAATCTGTATAAACTTAATTTAATGGATTCGTTGTTTTGTTTGTGGTTAAAAGGTCGCGAAATTGAGGCCACTGAACCGAATGACTCATTGTTTAGTAGAATACACATCCAAAGGACTGGGCGATTGAATTCACAATAAGAACTAATGAATTAAATATGCCAAATCCTTCAAATAAGAAGCGCTGACAGTCACATTGTGGCGAACAGATTAAGGATCAGTCATTAATATATTCGTTTGGAAATTTGCGCATCCCTAGCTGACGGGGAAGAGTGAATCAGTGACGTTATCAAGCCATTGTCATTTAGCATTGGCTCGAATTGGAACACACAAACCCAATAACACAGAGATCACGCAATATTACCACACATCGACCTCGCCTGCTCACATGGGAAGAACAAGTGATACAGGGCTCAGCTGCCAGTCCCGAGTCGTCACGGCTAATTGGTGTTGCTGATGTCGTATTTTCCATTGAAGTTCGTGAGTCCTTCACCGAAGAACTCGAGTTATGGCCCTCCGAGGCAAATTTTAATTTTGCTAGGCTATTTTAAACGCCATCAGAGAGGTATCTCAACATTTACTAGGGAATACTTCGTGCGCGTTCATAAGCAAATGCTCTAGAAGCTAGTGCCGCTTAGCACAGTAGAAGGGCAAAGCCCTGCTTTCTGCCACAGATGGAGAGGAGTGCATACTTTCCTCTAGGGTTTGCATTCGAAACCGAGATCAGTTTCCTTGTAAAAAAAAATGGGAGCATTCAAAAGTGATTGTGTGTAAACAATTTGAGTAAAGTAGACTTGATTTTCGATGTTCTGGATGGGACGTGGAGTGAAAACAAAATATCACCCTGCCCTGTTGTAGATTGTAGGGACCCTGGGTTCCTATAACAGGAAGATGGGACTCACCAAAAGGCAGTCTATCTGTTTCATGACATGTTAATCGAGCCGTGAGAACTTCTTTGAAATTTGCGGCTTGTTTTGACAAAGTGCAAGCCTCAAATGCATTGCATTATCAAGAAGATGCAAGTAAGGTGTCAAAGCGTGTGAATTGGAATGAGACCGTTGAGTGGTGGAAAAATGATGTGTATTTGGTGGTTAAGCTCACCACACGTGTTGATGGACAACTTTGACCGATGATAACCCCTTCAAAGTTGTCATTGCGGACTTTTAACTGGATCAATGTCTGTTATTAAATACTCATTTTCGATATGACTGATAACCATCCGTGTTTGATAAATGACGACAAGATGGTATTAATGGATGTGCAATGAAGAAAGTCTTGCTTGTTTCTTTGTCGGACACTTTGCTTATGAAAGTTATTTGTATGCTCTTACATGATTGTAATAGCTACATCTTCATCTCCTTTCCATATCTACCTCTCTCTTTGAATTTGTCTTCTGCTTCAATACCAGCCTACCTGTAAGTTCTTCAATGCCCTCATCATGAAGAAAGCTTTTTCCCTCCACTCGTCGACAGTTAGTCTCGACGCCATCTTTGAGCTCCACTTCTAAACTCTACCCCTGGATTGGATTCTCCGGCTCGATTTGAACTTAAAATACCGCCTATTGAAGGAAGCGTCTCTACTACGTCTTACGAAGTGATCACAGAAACTGAGTTTTGTAAGTCAAGATCAAAGCGAGATTTCTGCCTTCCACCCGCCTTTGTGTTACACCTCCTCTACATTCACGCAGTTGGCATAAGGGTGAACTGCCGACTATCCAAACCATGTAGATCTCACGAGTTCTGCAGGCTAAGTCAAATTACGCCTTTTTCATAGTGCTGTGTCTTGTTTTGGTTTGCTGTGTCGCATGTCTGACATCACCACTATAGAGCGTATTCGTGAACAACATTTGCGCTAAAAGCAGCGGCTCTTGAAGAGTGCAGGAAGGAAATGTCATCTTCCGTGTGCTAGAAAGTTAGTCACTGTAGTCTATTTACTTTCGCGGAGAATTGGAGTGGGTTACGTGAAAAGGGCAAAAGAGTGGTACTTTTGACTCTAATTTTCTTCTTTAATTATTCTCTTCAACAATGATAACTTTTTTACTCCCCTTTCTTTTGTACTTGGAAGCGTGTTCCAACCATCTAGAACCGCAATTCTAAACAAACCTAGACTGCAGCTGAAGAAATGCAACTCTTTTCCAAATGCCTAAAATATCCCGCTATTGTTATTTGCTGTTCCGAAAAATCTCAAGTCGGATAAAAAAAGTCATTTGTCACCTATTCTTTAAACCATGTTGCAGCACAAGTGTTCAGTACAGAAATACGTGGGAGTTACCAACTCACGCGCTTACTCTTCATGGTTACTCAGATATCTAATAGCATATGTTGCACACAGAGGGATGTATGGTACCATTAGCATCTCCCAATCAAGTGGAAGGTGGACATTTCTCTTCCTGTTCACACCCAAAGGCGAACTCTTTGCAAAGAATCTAAAAAATGGGGTGAAAAGTAGGAAAAGAGGAATAAAAAAGATTAATAAATAGAATCAAATTGTAA